GTTTCCAAAGTAGCACAGATCGTATTACGAAGCACGAGTACTAGAGACGGTTTGCGCTGTCATGTGGGTTGTAAGGAATAAGGATCGCCTAGCAAAAACAGACTGTGAAAACACTCGTAGAAGGTTTTAGGTTGCGTAGTGAAAACAGACGATAGAAAGGAAACACCTGTTAGCAGTATTAGAAATAATACATTCTTCTTATTGTTTTTTGTTTCCCCCTGTCGTGCTCCAAGATTGTTTGAAACGTTGGCCAACAACCACGACTTACTCATTCACTTTCAGAAAATATAGCTGTGTATGTTATTATAGAAAGATGATGGTATCGTGCTTAGCGCTCCTCATTGCCAGAACATAGATCCATGTTTAATTCCTCTCTCATCCATCTTCCTTCTCATCCATCCATCTCTCTCTCTCTCTCTCTCTCTCTCTCTCTCTCTCTCTCTCTCTCTCTCTCTCTCTCTCTCTCTCTCTCTCTCTCTCTCTCTCTGATTATAACACAGCCAGCTTGTCAAATTGGAATCATCCATGTTTGTGGTTGGGGGAGGTGGCGGCAACAGAAAAGTAGTCAATTGATCCCTCGCCTGATACCTCTTGACCTAATTTAGTGACAAAAGAATACATTGAGAATGGAACTAGACGGGGGAGTTCAAAAGATCGGCAGGACTTGGAGGAAACTGCATGCGATAGCAAAATATAGAACGACTTGGCGTGAGCTGGTAGAGTGCCTATGCTCCACTGGGGTGAAAAGGCAGAAGAAGAAGAAGAAGAAGAAGAAGAAGAAGAAGAAGAAGAAGAAGAAGAAGAAGAAGAAGAAGAAACAAACAAACAAACAAACAAACTAAGAAAGAAAGAAAGAAAGAAAGAAAAAAAGAAAGAAAGAAAGAAAGAAAGGAAGACAGAAAGAAAGAAAGAAAGAAAGAAAGAAAGAAAGAAAGAAAGAAAGAAAGAAAGAAAGAAAGAAAGACAGACAGACAGACAGACAGACAGACAGACAGACAGACAGACAGACAGACAGACAGACAGACAGACAGACAGACAGACAGACAGACAGACAGACAGACAGACAGACAGAAAGAAAGAAAGAAAGAAAGAAAGAAAGAAAGAAAGAAAGAAAGAAAGAAAGAAAGAAAGAAAGAAAAAAAAGAAAGAAAGAAAAGAAAGAAAGAAAGAAAGAAAGAAAGAAAGAAAGAAAGAAAGAAAGAAAGAAAGAAAGAAAGAAAGAAAGAAAGAAAGAAAGAAAGAAAGAAAGAAAGAAAGAAAGAAAGAAAGAAAGAAAGAAAGATAGGGGAAATGAGAAATGAAGATGAAGACAATATAAAGACAACGCCGATGAGAAGCATGATGATAATGTTGATCTGAATAAGGTGCTCAACAAAAACAAAATTAACTATACAGTATTAGAGTACAACTAAGCCACGGTAAAGATATATGGACACTGATTAAAAAATGCAACAAATAAAAAAATGAGGGGAAATACAAATTTTACAGACTATAGTGCATCAGAAAAGGCAATAAGCGTTAAAAGTAGGCCATTATATAACGAACAATCAAACATTTCTCGAGTGACGTGTGTTTTAACTTTATACCGCCACAATACGTGCGTGAACAGAAATCCCAATACAATTTGCAGACGACAATCAAGAATGACGCAGTTAAAAACCGCCTGCGATTGTGATGTCTGTAAATCGTCCTATATTGCACGAGATGGAAAGTAACACGTTTGTGACTATAATAAAGTTTAATTGTTCACCGTCTCCACAATAAAAGTTGTCTAAAGTGTACCAACTGAAGGCTTTGGGGATATTATTACGTGGTGAGGCCTTAATATCTTCTCCGGTGTGACTCTCGTACCCCTTACGCGTACCACCAGAGTGGTGTCCACCACACAAATCGAACCCTTATACTCAACGATCATGAAATTGTTAAACACAGTCACTAACCTTTAAGCAGCGGAACCACGCTAAGTAGTGGATACAACAGTTCTGTGGTAATTTTGAATACAACTTAACTCTTTCAGTCCCAAGCAACGTCCGATGTGTTTATGAATCTACCCCTTCACCCCCCTCTATAGCAGAATGTACTCTGTTACTTTGTGTGGGGGGGGGGGGTTAGGGGGGGGGGGGCGCTCAGAATATCTCAACACACACCCAAACAACGCGGCTTTCGCAAATAGTCACTACCGACTTTTATATTGCCACATTGACAGTAAAATATTCGCGATTATTGTTCAGTTTTTTTTTTTCTTCCCTATCTGTTGTGGAACACACGGGCATTGAAAGCGTTGAAAAATTAGCCTCCTGAAGAAGTCGGACTCCCCCCCCCCCCCCCCCCCCTTGGCACCTAAGTCGACCCAGCCATAAATAGGATACCATGTAGGGTCATGGGAAGTGAAGGTGGCCGGCGGGATGTTAACCACATCCCCCATCAAGGGTCTATAAAATATAGGCTTAGCCCTGTGTGCCCAATACGCCCCAAGCCATGGAAATTGGTCTATTCTTTACTTTAACTGAACAGATTTGCCAAATATGGAGTTTCCTATATTGACAGCTAGTGTGTCCTAATTAAATTGAAGCACATTAGAAAATGGACCACCTGTATAATATTCAGGAACAGAGTGTGAAGTGTAAATATAAGTGCTCACACGTTTCAATATTTAAATTTGGACTCATTTTCTATTGAATACATCAGTTCTCTTTATGGCACAGGAGGCGTCAAAGAGGACATTCTACGCTTTCCTATCTTGTGCAATCTTCATTGCAGTTTTTCCAAGTCAAGAGATGCAGCAATCAATTCGCATACCATTGTTCGTCTCCTTGTTGTTTCTGAGCGCCCTTTTCCTCTTTTCTTAGGCGGTTTGGGCCGTTTCAAACATGGTTCTTTTACATTCCAGAAGCAAATTCTCCATCATGAACTTCCTTTCGGCTTTCATCCATGTTGTTCATACTGACGGAAAGACTCTGTCCTAAGACCGCCAAACGTTTAGAGCACTTATTTCCTCTTGAAGTATCTGTAACATTGTAGTTTTTAGTCAGCACTACACCCAAATCCCGAGCCTGAAGGACCGTGAGGCCATCTTTAGTCTGTCCCCTTACAAGTAATCTGGTAATCCTAGTTTCAGCTTCATAGCAAACGGTTCACCCCATAGTTGCTCCACTCCTGTGCCAACGAAAAACACACGTAGCTCACAGTGTCACGCCATGCACTCAACTCAGAACTGCGCGACGAAACTATATCCTTCTAGTCTACAATTGGAGCAAAAATGCAACGGCCACCGTCTGGCAGAAAAAAATATAGGGTTAATAACGGTCACCCCAGCAGTACCCTCATTATTAGCTGGGGAAGGGACTTAGGACATTACATCCACCAGCAGGCGTCGCACCTACAACGACCTGCCTGCCTTCGTTAACGACTGTTCACACAACAGCAATGCAGTTCTTTGGCACGAAGGAGACACCTTGAACTTGGGTTTCGGACTGCCGACTCCCTACAAGATGTTATTTTATGTTTTGTTCTCACACTTGATGTCACTGCACATTGGGCATACCCATGCGTGCTCAGTTCTCTGAAGCAGCAGCCACTCCAAAGTACGTCTACTAATTGTCCCCATGAGAAGCTGGTTATATTGTCTCCTTTCTCGGCCTCGAAGACGGCAAAGACGTGCATCACCATGCTTAACTCCCATGTCACGCAATCGTGTTAGTGTCAGGGATTCCTCATTCTCCACTAGCCCAGTTCATACAGTGTTGACGATATCTGCTCTGTCCATGCCTTTTCCCGCAATCATTAGTGCAGTGCTTGCCAGTTGGTCCGCTCATTTCCCTTTACGCCAGCATCATTCGGTGTGTAGATCCAGTTTACGGAGGTTAAGTGCGATTTCCGAATACTTTCTATCCATTCAGAGCGCATACTGCCTGTTGCTATCTTCTGAAGCATAGTAATTGAGTCTGAGACAATTACTGCCTGTGTGGCGGTTTGCTCGGATACCCATGCTATAGCTCTAGAAGCAGCGGCTATTTCCATTGTCATGCTTGACGTGGTTGTCTGGTAAGCGTCGCTGTCCTAATGTATTGTTTTCCCCCTTCTTTGCGCTGTGTATGCCCATGCTGACCTTGATTCGCGCTTCACGGATCCATCTGTGTAGATGATGATATCTTCTGGGTCTGAATGCTGATCTATCAGTTCCCTTACTTCTGTGTCTACGGCGCTGGAATTTGATCCCTGCCGTACCTTCCGAGTGTGATGACAACCTTAGAGATGCCATGCATGTCTACTGGTGTATTCGTCGATTCTTTTCCGTGACTGATCACGTCTAGGTCGCATACCTGCTGGATTAAATCCTCAGCCTTTGCCATCCAAGAGCGGCCTCTTTTGAGTCGCGTTCCTTTTGTGTCGTGTATAGCTTTGTGCAATGGGTGGTTAACGCCTGCCGATACCCTCATGTAAGCCTTGACCTGTGCCACTTTGTATCTGCTAGTCATCGTCGGCAAACCCAGGACATAACGCATGGCGTTGCAGGAGGTGTCTTTTGTGCAGCCGAGTATGCGTCTCATGGCCTCATTTTGTACTCCGTCCAGTCTTTCTAGCTGGGTTTTGCTGACAGTGAGGAGGACAAGACCCCTCACAAGTTACCTGTGCGGCTTGGGTGACCCTGCCAGGAATATACGTTCCCGCCATCATAGCTCACTGGATCACTTAGGCTCTCAAGCTCCTCCACCACTACAAGTTAATGGCCTTTGGGGGGAGTTTGAATTCACGCTGGTAATTAATTTGTACTCTTGATTGTTATGAAATTCATTGCATTCTGTGCAGGCAAGTAAAGAACCATAAAATGCAGCCAATTTATTAAAAAAAAATTGTTCGCACTATACTTAAAATCTGGTGTGCCATCTTGTGCTTCCAAAAAGCTTGGCAATTGATCCATATGGAAGGTACACACACGCCTCTGAAGAAAATTCGGAGGAATCAAGTCCCATTCACATATCAATCAATCAATCAATCAATCAGGTGCCGTCTCCACAATGAAGGTTGGCTGCAAATGATCTCCAACAAGCCCTGTCTCTTGCCCTTGATGTACACTCACTCATACTGCTGTTCGTCCATCTCTTGATGTTTTCCTCCCACTTGTAACGCTGTCTGTATTTTGCTCGCCTACCTTGAACCTTTCCCTCTAGGATGATCTTTACAATACTGTTATGTTTTTTATGTGGCCAAAATATTTAACTTGTCTCTTTTTTATTTCACCTAGCAACTCACTTTTCATTCCCAATTTCCTCAGTACCTCTGTATTTGATAGCTTTTATTTCCATGAAATACGACTTAATCTTCTGTATATCCACATCTCCAAAGAACTGATACGATTTTCCAGTTGTTTGTTCATTGTCCATGTCTCTGTGCCATACAGTAAGGTTGAGAATACATAACATTTGACAATTCTCATTTTTAATGTATTGCTTATTTCTTTTGATGTCAGTAACTTTTGCATGTTGTTGAAAATGTTTTTGGCCATCCCTATTCTTTTCTTGACTTCTTTTTCACTTCTGCCGTCACATGTTATTACTTGTCCAAGATATAAGAAATGTTTAAATTGCTCCAATTTCACCCCGTTCACTGTGATATTCATTGTTAGCTGATTATTTTCTTTGCTAAATATCATAGTTTTTGTCCTTTTCAAATTTATATCTAATCCAAATTCTGCACTCCTTCTGTTTACTTGCTTCACTAGGTCTTGCAACTCCTGCTCACTCTCTGCTAGCAACACTGTGTCGTCAGCATATCTCAGATTGTTTATTATTCTACCATTGATGTGCAGTCGTGGTAATTCTACAATTTCTGTAAAAATGGTTTCTGTACATAAGTTGAAAAGGCTAGGCGACAGCACACATCCTTGTCTTACTCCTCCCTTGATCTCTATCTGGGGTGAGCAGTTGTTGTCATATCTTACTGTTGCTTCTTGCTCCCAGTATAAGTTTCTAATAAGTCTGATATCCTCTCCATCTAGTCCTATGTTTTGAAGAGCTGCAATTAGTTGTTTATGTTGCACTCTGTCGAAAGCTTTTTTTTGTAATCTATAAAACATGCATAAATATTTTTCCCCCGTGTGGGTTCCGGGGCCCTATTGTGGGGAAAACAAGAATTGACCCACTGCCTCCCCAAAAGCATGTCGTAAAAGTCGACTAATTGGGGAGCTTCCTTTGAAGTCGGAGTGCATCTGCCAGAGAGGCAAGGAACCAACAGTCTGTATTCAAGAGAATGAGATCTGTAAAACTGATGCACACGCAACACTCAGGTTCTGGAGCAGGACTGCAGTTCAGTAGTGGACGAGCAACCAGAACTTTCCGCCAGAGTGTACAGCTGGTGAACGCGAAGAAGAAGAAGATAAATATTTTTCTGAACTTCTATATATTTTTCAGTCAGCATCTTTAGACCTATTATGGCCTCTCGAGTACCACTGTTTTTACGGAATCCAAATTGCTCTTCAGAAACTTCTTTCTCTATTTTATTTTGAATTCTTGCTTGTATTATCTTCAAGAGTAACTTAGTTACGTGACTCATTAGGCTAATAGTTCTGTAATCTTCACAATCAACAGCTTTTGATTTCTTGGGTAGTGTGATAAAAACAGATGTTTTCATGTCCCTGGGAATGTACCCATAGTTATAAATGTCATTGCATATTTCTGTGATAGTACCAATTCCAAAAGTAGATAAAGATTTTAACATTTCTGCAGTTATGTTGTCTGGACCTGCTTCGTCTGTTTAATGGCTTTCTCTGCTTCAGACTTTAATATGTTTGGTCCCTCTTGAATATTATGGATTGGCGGTTTGTCACCTTTGTTGTCCCAAAACAGGTCTTCTATGTATTCAGTCCATCTTTTTATTATATCTTTCTTATCAACAACAATTTTTCCATCCTTCCCTCTAATACAACCATTTCCTGTTAAATGTTTTTCCTTGTTTGTAAGTTTTCTTATATTTGCATGTATTTCCTTGGTTCTGTATTTTATTTCAAGATCCTCTATTTCTTTGCATTTCAAATGAATCCATGTTTCCTTGGCAGTTCTACACATATTTCGTATTTCTTTGTCTATTAATGAATATTCTGGAGTTTTTTTGTTTTTTTTCCTTTCTCATATAGGAACAGCTTTCAGCTGTTGCAGATCAGCTGCAGGTACTTTCCTGTAGACTCTGCGTCCAGGTCGAATTTTCTCTTGTCTATAATTGGAACACAATTCCATTGCAGTCTAGTCATCTGCCATGTTGCGCTGCTGAGTCTGTGAGTCAGGTTTTGGGCCTACATAAGATAGTCTTATGGTAAGACCTGTACGCCTAAGTCGTCACATGACTGTCATTTGAGAGATTACCTGTGTCTACTCACTATTGCTACTTCCGTTCGATTTGCCCCCCCCCCCCCCCCCCCCCCAAAAAAAAAACAACTTCCTCAGGTGACTCAACATGAAATTACGATCTTGCGCGGGGGTAGTTACTCGTGGTTGGCCACTCCGATGTCTATCCCGGCACTGCCATTGGTTCCGTAACGTTTTTTGCAATGTACAATAATGCTGTGGTGGTAATTCATAATTCTGCAATGTCCTGTAAGCTCGTTCCAGACTGCAAATACAAATGGCTCATTGATGGTCGTTTTCAGATGGTCGTGGCATTACAAGCATATGTTTGGTTAATTGCGTATCCTTTACAGGACGTTGTAGAACCAACTCCAGCAGCCTCTCGCTGTTGTGTTGTTTATCTAGGCAAATTTACGTCTAGTTGTTTGCCATTGCTTACTGGACGGTCGGCTTTCTTGATACCGCTGTCGAAACCAACGCAAGGCGCATGGTCTGCAGCTGGGATCACACCCGGCATCCTGGCATTACGAAGCGTTTGCATCGACTTAGCCACTAAGCCGACTACAAGCATATATACTAGGTGTATTTTCTTAACGGCCTTTTTTTTTTTTTTTTAAATACCGACTATACCGCCACAACGCCTACACATTTTCAAAGTCATAACTGCTTGGAAGCGTGTCGCACGTGTAACTGTCACTGTTTTTTTTTTTTTTGTATATTTTGTACGTAGGCCCGTGGGTTGATTAAGGCCGTTCGATTCCGGCAGCCATTGGCTCTCTATAGCACGACAAACACGAAAAGAACCATTCTCACATTTTTTCGATCCAGCCATTCGGCAACAGTATAACAATTATAGTGGTGAGTTTTTAATGTGCTTCAGAATAACATTTTCCCGGAAGCTGTGTGGGGTTTCTGAGAAGTGTGTCCTTTTGGATTAAAAATCAGAGTTCCATACGATGAGTCGCAGTAACGGTTTGCTTAGCGCAGAGTAAAACAGAGTTAGAAAGTCAATCAATCAGTCAGTCACACGGTTAGTCAATCAGTAAGTCTATCCATCAGCCAGACAGTCAGTCAATCAGTCAGAAAGTCTGTCTTTATTCACTCATTCAGTCAGCCTGTCAGAATGTCAGTAATTCACCACTTAGTAAGTCTGTCAAACAGAAAGTCAGTAATTCATCGTTCAGTCAATCAAACAGACAGACAGTCACACACAAAAAGTCATTCATTACTCAGTAAGTCATTCAGACAGTCAGTCATTCAATGAGTAACTAAGATATATAATTATTACTTTACACATGTGTTGCTTGTTTATTTTTTAGGAGGTTCATTGTATTTATAAGTTCATTTACACCCAATATATAGCAATCTAGTACATTCAGTTAACATTTTATGTGAATTTTTTGAATTTATGCATGTATGGTTGTGTATGTTATATATATATATATATATATATATATATATATATATATATATATATATATATATATATATATATATATATATACATATATTAGTCGGCCGAATACGAATACGAAAAGTGTATCATCATCAGGTGCCTTGCCGACTGGCGTGGGCAAATATGCCTCGCCACAATCTGCGATCTTTTGCAGCATGTATTAGTTCGTGTGCTGACACACCTTCATGCCATGCAACAAGACTGGCAAGAATCTTCTCTCGTTGTCTTCCTTTATCCCTCCTTCCACAGATCTTTCCAGTGGTCACCATGTGTTCCATTTTCCCTTTTTTCATAACATGGCCGAAAAATTATTTCTCATTCTGATGCCTGTGATTAGTTGTTTTTGGGCTGCCGCCTTTTTCAAAACCTCTTGGTTGCTTTTTTTCTGTCTAAGGTATTTTAAGCATTGTATGTATGTGTATATATATATATATATATATATATGTGTGTGTGTGTGTGTGTGTGCGTGCATGCGTGCGTGCGTGCGTGCGTGCGTGCGTGCGTCTGTGCGTCTGTGTGTCTGTGTGTCGGTAGGTAGGTAGGTAGGTAGGTATATGATGTGTGTATGTGTCTGAGTATGGGGTGTGCGGATGTAGTACCAGGTATATGTGTATGTAAAAAGTGTAGGGTGTGTGCGCGTATTATAATGCATGCGCCATTGCATGTACGCCAGTTTCTGTGTAAACTTTAGCTAGAATCTAGATAGATCAACACGTAAGAAATACCATCCTCTCTTCCCCCCCCCCCCCCCCAAAAAAAAAAAAACAACAACAAGAGCATAATAGATATTTATTTAATATAGAAGCAGGTAAAATTTATACATGAAAGAAACTAGATACAGACTTGATAATATCAGATATGGTTTCAGATCTTCATTAAAAATAAATAACTTTGCATAAAAAATATGTAACCAGCCGAAGGTGAATCCATGTCAAACAGTGAAGTAGTGATAACAGACAAGACGAAGATTCATAGATAGTGCACGAGAGTGCTCACACACAAAAAATATCAAAGTAAACTGCAGCGGAAAGAATATGCATAATGTGCATAAATAAGGGTAAGATAAATGGCAGTGATAAATATGACATGGGAAAAGATATCTAACAGACAAGAGTAAAGAGAGGTACGGGAACATTTACACTTAAACGAAACTTTGAAATTTACGATGTAGAAAGTAAATTCCTGTTTTCATTCGTTGAGGTATTTTAGAATGAACAAAGACCGGCTCCAGATGACGAGAATTGCTGCTGACGTCATCAAATCGGGCAAACGATACATTACGTTTCTCAAGCTTTTTGCGTCAAGCAAACAAAAAAATGTATGGCACACCTACCATTAAATGTCAAATTTTGAAATTTGACTGACTTTCTACTCCAACAGG